AAATCTCTGTGTTATGGTAGGTTGATAGGAGAGGGATTTGGAAACAAGAGATTTTGGCTCATCTCCTCTCCTATCTGAGGCCAGGCAGCATTCTTGCTGTTTAACTCCTGTCACTTAATTGTGCACTTAGATATTAAAAAGCAAGTGATGGCTGGGTACGGTGGCTCACGCCTGCAATCCCAGCACTTTGGAAGGCTGAGGTGGGTGGATCATGAGGTTAGGAGTTCAAGACCAGCCTGACCAACATGGTGAAACCCCGTCTCTACTAAAAATACAAAAATTAGCCAGGAGTGGTGGTGCACGCCTGTAATCCCAGTTACTTGGAGGCTGAGGCAGGAGAATCACTTGAACCCAGGAGGCAAAGGTTGCAGTGAGCTGAGATTGCGTCACTGCAATCCAACCTGGGTAACAGAGTGAGACGTCCATCTCAAAATAAATAAATAAATAAATAAATAAAAAGCAGGTGGTGAATTTTAGTCTTGCCAGTCAGTCTTCCAAAAATCAACACATTCTAGTTTCCCTTCCACCCTGTCTCATACACAGGCATTTCTGAGATGAAAGCAGTGGGCCCTGCCATTGAACAGAATTTATGCATTTAAATTTTCTTTATTTCTGTGAAAAGGAGAACAAAGTAAATGTCACCTGTAAACCTATTCTTAGCACTCTCCATGTTTGGAATTTGGTAGATTTTTTTTTATGCATCCTTTTTATTACACATCTTTTTCATTTAGAGGTGGTATCAAATGTCTATTTAATTTTGTAACATGTTTTAAAAAAATTAACATGACAGTATAAGCATTTCTCACGTTGCTGCATGATTTTTACAGCCATAAATTTAAGGACAGGCAAAATTTAAGATTGTTGTGTGATTATGGTGGTGGACATTCACAGGGGGTTCTTTACTACCCTGTATGTAGCCTTCCTTTCTCCAAAGGCTGATATGCTTATTATTAGGAGATGAGCCAACTATTCCTTCTCTCCACTTCATAAAAACCCCGACAGGGAACAGGATGTGAGTTCAGCCACACAATGCTTTAAGCCTAGTGGGAGAAGTGCGAAGGTACAGGAAGATGAGAGACAATTCCCTGCATAGAGGTGGCACTGAGGTTCTGGCAATGGCAGCTGGGGTGTGAAATGGTGGTGGATCCAGACACAGCATCTAACGTCGTTCTTGGGGCACGACCCTGGCTCTCCCTTCCCACTTCTCAGTCTCTCTTAGTTCCTGCCATTCCCAATCCAGGTCCTTCTTCCTCTTCATGGACTTAGAGCCCTCCGTTACCTTTATAATAATTTCCTTTCTGCCTATATTAGCCAGAGACATATCATAGCCAGAAACTCCATCCCTGGACCTAGGCTTTCACAGCTTGGACCCCTGAGTTCATTCATTCTGTCCAGTTAAAAACTATGGAGTCTCTACCATGTATCTTGTGCTGCTCTAGGAAGTAGAAATGCAGTAGTAAGAATCAGTTTTTAAAAAATCATCACTCAGCTGGGTGTGGTGGCTCATGCCTGTAATCCCAGGACTCTGGCAGGTCAAGGCAGGTGGCTCACTTGAGTCCAGGAGTTTGAGGCCAGCTTGGGCAACATGGCAAAACCCTATCTCTACAAAAGATACAAAAATTAACCAGGCATGGTGGTACATACCTGCAGTCCCAGGTACATGGGAGGCTGAGGTGGGAGGTTGCTGAGCCCAGGAGGTCAAAGCTGCTGTGAGCCATGATCATGCCACTGCACTGAGTGACAGAGAGAGAGAAAAAATCACCACTCACATGGAACCTACTTTCTAGTGGAATTCTAGTATGTTTTAATGAAAGGTAAGGTTGTATGTGAATTACTATTGGTAAGGGTAAGCAAAATTTAGAGTGATGTGAACAGTTGAGGAGAGGTGCTTATAATGTTCCAAATGGTTGAACCATATATAAACCCTAATTCAGAATGGAAAGCCTGCATCACCTCTACTTGCTTTAAGCTATACAGTCATGTGTCACTTAACAAAGGAGACACGTGCTGAAAAATGTGTTGCTAGGGGATTTTGTCATTGTATGAGCATTATAGAGTGTGCTTACACCAACCTAGATGGTATAACCTCCTACGCATCTAGACTATACGGTATAGCAAATTGCTCCTAGGCTAAAAACCTGTATAGTGTATTACTATACTGCATGCTATAGGCAATCATAATGTAATGATAAATATCTGTATTTCTAAATATATATAAATATTGAAAAGGTACAATAAAAACAAGTGTTATAATCTCATGAGACCACCTTCACATATGCAGTCCGTCATTGACTTAAACATCCTCACAAAGCATATGACTATATTTATGTGTTTCCAAACATATCAGCAGTGTATGGAAGTGCTCCTTATCCTGCCTTAGTGCATCCATTAGCTATTCTTCCTGCTGTCTAGCAAATATTTAACAAATATTGATAATATCTTGCAGCAAATCACAATGGCACACATTTACCTATGTAAAACCCTGTACGTCCTGCACATGTATCCCAGAACTTAAAGTAAAAGTCGAAGGAAAACAAAATTTGGGGTCAGGCACGGTGGCTCACGCCTGTAATCCCAGCACTTTGGGAGGCCAAGGCAGGTGGATCACGAAGTCAAGAGATCGAGACCATCCTGGTCAACATGGTGAAACCCCGTCTCTACTAAAAATACAAAAAATTAGCTGAGCATGGTGGTGCGTGCCCGTAATCCCAGCTACTCAGGAGGCTGAGGCAGGAGAATTGCCTGAACCCAGGAGGCAGAGGTTGCGGTGAGCTGAGATCGCACCATTGCACTCCAGGCTGGGTAACAAGAGCGAAACTCCGTCTCAACAACAACAAAAAAAAATTGCTGCAATAATTTTTGTCTGCAAACATGAAAATATGGTGAGCATATTTTCATGTTTGCTCATGGTTTGTATCCTTTTGTGTAATTTGTGTTCTTTACCTTGTTTTGTTTGTTTTCTGTTGAGATGTTTGCCTGTTTCTTATTGCCTTGCAGTAACTCTATAGTCCAGATATTATTTCCTTATCTATTTTATTTGCTGCAAATATTTTCTCCCAGCCTATTACTGGTTTCTTTTAACTTTGTTTATGGTATCTTTTGTAGCGCAGATTGTTTATTTTTGTGTGGTCAAATCTGTTATGTCTTTTCATTTTTACCTTCTCAGCTTTATGTCTTGCTCAGAAAGGCTTAGCTTTAGAATTATAAAAATATTATCTAATGCTTTTGTGGTCTTTTGCTCTATCTTTAAGTATTTAATACATCTAGAATTCATTTTTGTATGTGGTATGGAGGAGGAATCTAACTCCTTTTATTTAAATGGAAAGTCTCAACACAATTTAGTAAATACTGATTCTTTTTCTCCTCAACTTCAAAAATGCTACATCATACACTATATGTCCTCATATTCGTGCTTCTGTTTCTGAGATGAAAAGAATTAATTCTAACATATAACTAACTCCAAATCAATATTTCTGATGGAAATGTGCAATTTCTCAATATCAAAACCAAACTAATTTTGTTGCAAGAAGTGGTTCCCACCCAACTCTGACTGTTCTTTTGATTTCATACCTTCACCATTATGGCTGATTTTCTTTCTCACAATGCATGTTACCCTGGGTTGCTCCTGAAACAGTTTACCAATAAATAGACTATTTCCCCAGCAAATAAGGGCAGATCTGGTAGTTTTTTCTCTTTCACGTATTTCTCAACCCTATAAGGTTTTTTTGTTTGCTTGTTTATTTTATTTTTTGAGACAGAGTCCTGCTCTGTCACTCAGACTGGAGTGCAGTGGTGCAATCTCTATTCACTGCAACCTCCACCTCCCAGGTTCAAGTGATTCTCCTGTCTCAGCCTCCTGAGTAGTTGGACCTACAGGTATGTGCCGCCACACCTGGCTAATTTTTTGTATTTTTAGTAGAGACAGGTTTTCACTGTGTTAGCCAAGATGGTCTCGATCACCTGACCTTATGAGCTGCCCACCTTGGCCTCCCAAAGGGCTGGGACTACAGGTGTGAGCCACAGCGCCCGTCCCCCTATAGGGGGCTATGAACTAGCCAATTTCAACAGACTTTGCCTTTGGATTATTCTTTAAGCCTTGTTCTTATTTGATTCCAGGAGAACTTGTAATATTAAGGACTCTTAGGAGTAAGAAGGAGACATAGGTTATTCTGATAACATTAGAATCACATACACATATGAGTCACATAGATTCCTAGGTTCCATCCCTAAAGTTTCTGATTTATTGGTGTGAGATTTAGCCCTGGAATTTGCACTTTAAAAAAACCAGGTCTTTGCTCTTCCTGCAGCCTACTCTATTATTTGTAAATAAAATAATAACTAAGCAACCAAAGCTGTGAGGGAAAAAATCTGGTATAGCAAGTGATTCTTTAGGGCCACTGCTGCTATTTTAATAACAAAGGATGCTACAAATAAACTCTTTGGTTCTATCATCATTCCCAAGGCCACTTTGACATTTATTTCAATGAAACAAGCTGGCAGTGTCTTCCTAACCAAATGAATTAGCAAAGCTCCCCCCAAAAAAGAAAAAGGAAAATCCAAAAGCACCAGATTATCAACATCGCTGTCGATTGTCTTTCAGAATGAATGGAGACTATGCCATTACACGCACACACTTCTCTCTCTTCTAAAGGCACAGTATCTATGGAGAGATTCAGATGCTAACATCAGTCAGTTGTTGTGGAAGCTGACCTTGAATGAACCTTTGCTTCTTTTTCTACTGTCTCTTCTGGAAATTATTAAGAGAGAGATTCCAGAGCCAAAACTTGAGAAAATGCCAGGTGGTTGTTTATTCTGCTCTGGATTTTTAGAGATGGAAATGCACCAAAGGAGTTATGCACATAATGAAGGGAATCATAGTATGTTAACCTGCCATTTGTACATCAAGGCCTCACTGTGTCTTGCTGAAAAAGGTAAGTGGGTGCTCTGTTTGTCAAGAGAGAAGAAGTGACTTCTGGTAACTGTACTTCTGGTAAGTAAAGTCCAGACCCAGTAACTTAGTTTATTTATAAAGCATCTCACTTCTCAGTGCCAATGCACATACACAGAACCACCCTTGTCTCTGCACAAATATACATGCAAATGCATGTACATAAGTTGTGCTGCTTTTGTTTTCACAGTTGCAGAATGATTGCTGTACCAAAAATTGCATTCCTCTTTAAGGCAGGAAGAAGGGGAAGGACAAAAGGATAAAAACCTCAAGCCGGTTGAGTCCGTCCTTAACAGGAGCTCTTCCAGAAGCCTGTCTAGCAACTTGCATATACATCTCCACTGTTGACTCCAGCAGCAAGGATAGCTGATGAATATTGCAGTAGGGAATATTCTACCTTGAATATTGAATAGGAAGACTGGACTTTGGTTGGTAGGTAAAATGGGGAGAATGAATACCAATAGTTAAGTAGCGATGTCTGCCTTTGTTTACCCCAAGTATTTCTCAAACCTATCCAATTTTCTCCTTCCCTACCACCAACATCCCAGTGAAACCACAATCCACTCTCACCTGGGCATTCTTCTAACTGGTCTTCCTGCACAGCAAAAGTATGCTTATCTTTTAAAACTTACGTCTATTATGTTGCTTTGCTGGTTAAAACTTTTGATGTCTTCCTATATTAGTTAGAATACAATCTGCACGTGTTTTTATGACTTAAAGTGCCCACATGACTGGTTATCTCCCAGTTATCTGTTACCTTCTTTCCTCCTAGTTTGTAATCATCCAGGCACACTGGCCTCCCTGCAGTGTTTTAAAGCATGTCATGCTCTTTCCATCTTACGGTCTCTGTACTTGCTTCTCCCTCTGCCTGCCTTCTCTCATTCTTCAACTTTTTGTTCAATGCCACTTTTTTGGACCATCCCATCTGGAACACTGTGACTGTCTTTTTGATGTGACAGCTTGGCTAAGCTACAGTCACTAGTTGATTCTGTAAATTACTTTGGGCAGTATAGCCATTTTCACGATATTAATTCTTCCTAACCATGAACATGGAATGTTTCTCCATTTGTTTGTGTCCTCTCTTATTTCTTTGAGCAGTGGTTTGTAGTTTTCCTTGAAGAGGTCCCTTACGTTTTTTGTAAGTTGTATTCCTAGGTATTTTATTCTTTTTGTAGCAATTGTGAATGGCAGTTCGTTCTTGATTTGGCTTTCTTTAAGTCTGTTATTGGTGTAGAGGAATGCTTGTGATTTTTGCACATTGATTTTATATCCTGAGAGTTTGCTGAAGTTGCTTATCAGTTTCAGGAGTTTTTGGGCTGAGGCGATGGGGTCTTCTAGGTATACTATCATGTCGTGTGCAAATAGAGACAATTTGGCTTCCACCTTTCCTATTTGAATACCCTTTATTTCTTTTTCTTGCCTGATTGCTCTGGCTAGAACTTCCAGTACTATATTGAATAGGAGTGGTGAAAGAGGGCATCCTTGTCTAGTGCCGGATTTCAAAGGGAATGCTTCCAGTTTTTGCCCATTCAGTATGATATTGTTGGTTTGTCGTAAATAGCTTTTATTACTTTGAGATACATTCTATCAATACCGAGTTTATTGAGGGTTTTTAGCATAAAGGGCTGTTGAATTTTGTCGAATGCCTTCTCTGCGTCAATTGAGATAATCATGTGGTTTTTGTTTTTGGTTCTGTTTATGTGGTGAATTACGTTGATAGACTTGCGTATGCTGAACCAGCCTTGCATCCCCGGGATGAATCCTACTTGATCATGATGGATAAGTTTTTTGATTTGCTGTTGCAGTCAGCTTGCCAATATTTTATTGAAGATTTTTGCATCTATGTTCATCATGGATATTGGCCTGAAGTTTTCTTTTCTTGTTGGGTCTCTGCCGGGTTTTGGTATCAGGATGATGTTGATCTCATAAAATGATTTGGGAAGGATTCCCTCTTTTTGGATTATTTGGAAGAGTTTCAGAAGGAATGGTACCAGCTCCTCTTTGTGTGTCTTGTAGAATTCGGCTATGAACCCATCAGGACCTGGACTTTTTTTGTGTGGTAGGCTCTTAATTGCTGCCTCGACTTCTGACCTTGTTATTGGTCTATTCATAGTTTCAGCTTCCTCCTGGTTTAGGCTTGGGAGGACACAGGAGTCCAGGAATTTATCCATTTCTTCCAGGTTTACTAGTTTATGTGCATAGAGTTGTTTGTAATATTCTCTGATGATGGCTTGAATTTCTGTGGAATCTGTGGTGATTTCCCCTTTATCATTTTTTATTGCATCTATTTGGTTGTTCTCTCTTTTCTTTGTTATCAATCTGGCTAGTGGTTTGTCTATTTTGTTGATCTTTTAAAAAAACCAGCTCTTGGATTTATTGATTTTTTTGAAGGGTTTTTCGTGTCTCTATCTCCTTCAGTTCTGCTCTGATCTTAGTTATTTCTTGTCTTCTGCTAGGTTTTGAGTTTTTTTGATCTTGCTCCTCTAGCTCTTTCAATTTTGACAATAGGGTGTCAGTTTTGGATCTCTCCATTCTCCTCATATGGGCACTTATTGCTATATATTTTCCTCTGGAGACTGCTTTAAATGTGTCCCAGAGATTCTGGCATGTTGTGTCTTCGTTCTCATTGGTTTCAAAGAACTTCTTTATTTCTGCCTTCATTTCATTGTTTATCCAGTCAACAGTCAAGAGCCAGTTGTTCAGTTTCCATGAAGCTGTGCGGTACTGAGTTGGTTTCTGAATTCTGAGTTCTAACTTGATTGCACTATGGTCTGAGAGACTGTTTGTTATGATTTCAGTTGTTTTGCATTTGCTGAGCAGTGCTTTACTTCCAATTATGTGGTCAATTTTAGAGTAGGTGTGATGTGGCACTGAGAAGAATGTATATTCTGTGGATTTGGGGTGGAGAGTTCTGTAAATGTCTATCAGGTTTGCTTGTTCCAGGTCTGAGTTCAAGCCCTGGATATCCTTGTTGATTTTCTGTCTGGTTGATCTGACTAATATTGACAGTGGAGTGTTAAAGTCTCCCACTATTATTGTGTGGGAGTCTAAGTCTCTTTGTAAGTCGTTAAGAACTTGCCTTATGTATCTGGGTGCTCCTGTATTGGGTCCATATATGTTTAGGATCGTTAGCTCTTCTTGTTGTATTGATCCTTTTACCATTATGTAATAGCCTTCTTTGTCTCTTTTGATCTTTGTTGCTTTAAAGTCTATTTTATCAGAGATGAGAATTGCAACTCCTGCTTTTTTTTTTCTCTCCATTTGCTTGGTAAATCTTCCTCCATCCCTTTATTTTGAGCCGTTGTGTATCCTTGCATGTGAGATGGGTTTCCTGGATACAGCACACTGATGGGTTTTGTTTTTTTATCCAGTTTGCCAGTCTGTGTCTTTTGATTGGTGCATTTAGTCCATTTACATTCAGGGTTAATACTGTTATGTGTGAATTTGATACTGCCATTTTGATGCTAGCTGGCTGTTTTGCCCGTTAGTTGATGTAGATTCTTCATTATGTTGATGCTCTTTAGCATTTAGTGTGATTTTGGAATGGCTGGTACTGGTTGTTCCTTTCTATGTGTAGTGCCTCTTTCAGGAGCTCTTGTAAAGCAGGCCTGGTGGTGACAAAATCTCTGAGTACTTGCTTGTTCACAAAGCATTTTATTTTTCCTTCAGTTATGAAGCTCAGTTTGGCTGGATATGAAATTCTGGGTTGAAAGTTCTTTTTTTTAAGGATGTTGAAAATTGGCCCCCACTCTCTTCTGGCTTGTAGGGTTTCTGCTGAGAGATCTGCTGTGAGTCTGATGGGCTTCCCTTTGTGGGTGACCCAACCTTTCTCTCTGGCTGCCCTTAGTATTTTCTCCTTTATTTCAACCCTGGTGAATCTGACGATTATGTGCCTTGGGGTTGCTCTTCTTGCAGAATATCTTTGTGGTGTTCTCTATATTTCCTGCATTTGAGTGTTGGCCTGTCTTGCTAGGTGGGGGAAATTTTCCTGGATAATATCCTGAAGAGTATTTTCCAGCTTGGATTCATTCTCTTTGTCACATTCTGGTATGCTTATCAAACATAGGTTATGTCTCTTCACATAGTCCCACATTTCTTGGAGACTTTGTTCATTCCTTTTTGTGCTTTTTTCTCTAATCTTGGTTTCTCATTTTGTTTCATTGAGTTGATCTTCGACTTCTGATATTCTTTCTTCTGCTTGGTCAATTCAGCTGTTGAAACTTGTGCATGCTTCACAAAGTTCTCATATTGTGTTTTTCAGCTCCTTCAATTCATTCATATTCCTCTCTAAGTTATCCATTCTTGTTATTATTTCCTCGAATCTTTTTTCAAGGTTCTTAGTTTCTTTGCATTGATTTAAAACATGTTCTTTTAGCTCACAAAAGTTTCTCATTATCCACCTTCTGAAGTCTAATTCTGTCATTTCATCACAGTCATTCTTCGTCCAGCTTTGTTCCCTTGCTGATGAGGAGTTATGGTCCTTTGTAGGAGGCGAGGTGTTCTAGTTTCGGGTGTTTTCCTCCTTTTTGCACTGGTTTCTTCCCATCTTTGTGGATTTATCCACCTGTCATCTGAGTAGTTGCTGACTTTTCGATTGGGTCTCTGAGTGGACACCCAGATTGTTGATGATGAAGTATTTCTGTTACTTGGTTTTCCTTCTACCAGTCTAGCCCCTTTACTGTACAACTGCTGAGGTCCACTCCAGGCCCTGCTAGTCTGGGGCATCCCATGTCTCTTTTATACCTGGGAATTTCCCCGTTCTGTGGGCAACAAAGATCCGTCTGGAAATGCAGCCCTGACTCACCCTCTGCACGTTCACCAAGAGCTTCAATCCTGGGTTGTTCTCACCGCGCCATCTTGAGTCCGTCCTCCAAACTGCCCCATTTATTTACTCAAAAGCACTACTCTTCTTGAAAATTCTCTTGCTCATTTATACATTTACTGTTCTATATTTTTGTCTCCCCTACTCAGATGTCTGCTTCATGAAGGAAGAATCAGCATCTACCACATTCAACACTGTAGAACAACACATGGCCTATAGTCCATGGTCAGTAAATATTTATGGAAAGAAAGAATGAATGAGAATCTGGTAATGACATTTGGCCCAAAAATTCACTCCCAGGTTACATTAAATTACACTTCTCAGCCAGGTACAGTGGCTCATGCCTGCAATCCCAGCACTTTGGGAGGCCGAGGTGGGCGAAACAACTGAGGTCAGAAGTTGGAGACCAGCCTGGCCAACATGGTGAAACCCCATCTCTAAAAAATTAGCTGGCTGGGGTTGCAGGCATCTGTAATCCCACCTACTTGAGAGGCTATGGCAGAAGAATTGCTTGAACCTGGGAGGCACATTTCTTGGTTGTTTATTCATTCATTTATTCAAGTAATATGTTGAACTAAGTACCCTGATTGGGCATCGAGCATAGGAAAGGACCATCAGGAGACAGTTTTTCTCTTCAAGGAGTGTTATAATTTACTCCTGAACACCATTCACATTGTGAAACCCACATATTACTCCAACCAACTTTTAGAAGATGATAGGGCAGGTTTTGTTATACTCAGAAAACCCTGAGAGGCTCAGTGACTTATCTGGGAGAACCTGGAATGGTCTCTTAATTGGCATTCAGTACTCAGTGAAAGCCAGCTCACAAGACCATTCTTTCACTCCAGAAAGTGATTCCAGGTTTTTCCTTTGGCTCTTCTATAGAAGGGTGCCTCTTATGGGTTTAACTATGTCTCTACAAAAATTCATTTGTTGAAGTCCTAGCTCCTGTCACCTCAGAACGTGACCTTATTTAGAAACAGGATGGCTGCAGATGTAATTAGTTGAGATGATGTCACACTGGAGTAGAGTGGGTCTCTAATCCAATATGACAGGTGTCCTAATGAAAAGAAAAAGTCTGAGTGTGGTGGCTTCTATCTGTAGTCCCATTACTCTGGGAGGCTGAGGCAGAAGGATCACTTAAGACCAGGAGTTTGAGACCAGCCTAGACAACATAGTGAAATCCTGTCTCTACAAAAAAAAAAAAAAAAAAATTTAAAAACATAGTTGGGCATTGTGGCATGCACCTGTAGTTCCAGCTACTTGGAAGGCAGAGGTGGGCAGATTGCTTGAGACTGCGAGGTCGGGGATGTGATGAGCTGTGCTGGTGCCATGAACTCCAGCCTGGGCAACAGAGTGAGATCCTGTCTCAAAAAAGGGAGTGGGGAGGGCAGAAATTTGGACATGGACACTCTATGTTCTATGATAACAACGTATTAGAGTCTACATATGAGTGAGATCATGAAGTATTTGTCTTTCTGTGCCTGGCTTATTTTACTTAACATAATGTCCTCCAGGTTCATAATATCCTTCCATATTGTCTCAAATGACAGGATTTTATTCTTTTTTATGATTGTATGTAATATTCCATTGTGCATATAAACCACAGTTTCTTTGTCCATCCATCCATTGATGGAAATTTTGGTTGATTCCATATCTTGGTTATCGTGAATAATGCCAAAATAAACATGGGATACAAATATCTCTTCAACATACTGATTTCATTTCCCTTGGAGTTTTTGGGATAAAACCTCAAAAGCATGGGCAACAAAAGCAAACATATGCAAATGGAATTACATCACACTAAGAAGCTTCTGTACAGAAGGAAAACAATCAACAGAGCAAAGAGACAAGCTACGGAATGGGAGAACATATTTGCAAACTATACATCTAATGAAGGGTTAATATCCAAGGCTGGGTGCGATGGCTCACATTTGTAATCCCAGCACTTTGACAGTCTGAGGTGAGAGAATCCCTTTAAGCCAGGAGTTTGAGACCAGCAAACAAAGTGAGACCCCATCTCTAAAAGAAATTTAAAAATTAGCCAAGTGAAGTGGTATGCATCTGTGGTTTCAGTTACTTGGGAGACTGAGGTGGAAGAATCAGTTAAACCCAGAAGTTGGAGGCTACAGTGAGCTATGATGATGCCACTGCACTCTAGCCTGGGTGACAGCAAGATCCCATCTCAGAGAAAAGAAATAAAATAAAGACTCAAACAACTCAACAACAACAAAACCAAATAAGCCAATTAAAAAACGGACAAAGTACCTGAATAAATATTTCACAAAAGAAGACATACAAATGGCCAACAGATATATGAAAAAATGATCAACATTGCTAATTATCAGGGAAATGCACATCAAAATTACAGTGAGCTATCATTTTAGTCAGAATGGCTACAGTCAAGGAAATGAAAAAATGACAAGTGTTGGTGGGGATGTGGAGAAGAAGGAACCTATATATACTGCTGGTGGGAATGTAAATGAGTGCAGCCATTATGGAAAACAGTATAGTGTTAAATTAAATTTAAAAAATTGAAAATAAAAGTGTTCTGTGACCCAGCAGTCCCGTGGCTGGGTCTGTACCTGGCAGCAAACTTCCTCAGCACCTCCTCTGGCAAGTGTTGTGTTAAGTGTTTAAGGACTATGAGTGTACAACATTTCTTAGTTGCTAAGAAATAGCTAGTCTAAGGAGGGATAGGAAAAGATAAGAAAAGCAGACACATTCGCATAAGACAGCACTGTAATGGAAGTTCAGAAGTTACTGGATTTAAGCGACAAGCAAATTAATTCTGTGTCTTCTGGGCTTTAAATACTGATAAGATTCTGACAGGTTTAAATTGTTCAGAGAAGGAGGAAGAACACTTAAAGGAGAAAATTTCAAAGTTGTTTCCTTTTATGTGAACCAGAGTTAGAGGAATTTGAAAATATGATGCATAGACATGTTAATGGAGTTTTATTTACTAGACAAATTTGGAATGATTCTCATTTCTCAAATTTAAAAACTCCAATTTGTTGTATAACTTCCAAGCTGGAGGGCTGAGTGAATAATAAAGTGTGTTTGAATGTGAAATGTTGATGCATCTTTTGCTGGTTAAGCAAAATACTCACTATTCCACATTGCTATTGTTTAGTCCAAAAACCAATCTTTTGTTTATGGGTACTGAAAATTCTGATTGTGGTGATTTTTATGTTGCTATTATAATTTTTAAATCTTTTGTACATTGTGTAACAATATTATCTAGACTTTTATTTTGTGCAGGTGCTTGGCCTGATACAAAAAGTTTTGCCTGAAAAAATCAATAACTTTGGAAAGCCAGCTGTGTTAAAATGCCAGAAGGAGACCAAGCAGTGGTTATGATAAGTTTAATAGTGATTTAGGAGGATGCATTAGAGCCAGTGTTGAGAAAAAATAAAACAGACTAGGGTAGGTACACCTTAGGTTCACAAAATTCTGTAATTGGACAAAATTATGGTGAAAATGGGGAAATTGATGGCTACATAGCTGTAAGAATAATTTTTCTCATAACTATATATACTCCAAACATTATATATATTCCTGCAGGACAATTGGTCCTAAGATATGTGAATTGAAGAAAAAATTTCTTGCATAAATTGTGACTATCTCTAGCTGGGAAGTTAACTTAATGTGGGAAGTAGTAGAGGAAAGAAGAGCACAGAGAAATTGAAGCTAAGAATAAAAAAGGGTGCTAAGAGCACAGCCGGCGCGGTGGCTCACACCTGTAATCCCAGCACTTTGGGAGGCTGAGGCGGGTGGATCACCTGAGGTCAGGAGTTCGAGATCAGCCTGGCCAACATGGCAAAACCTCATCTCTACTAAAAATACAAAATTAGCCAGCGGGGTGGCATTCACCTATAATCCTAGCTAATTGAGAGGCTGAAGCACAAACCTATAGTGCAGAGTCACGAGAATCGCTTGAACCTGGGAGGCGGAGGTTGCCATGAGCTGAGATCCCACCACAGCACTCCAGCCTGGGCGACAGAGCAAGAGTCTGTCTCATAAAAAAAAGGGAAAGGGTGCTAGGAGCACTTGGAGAGGGTCTTCAATTCCCAGGTGAGACACTCCAATTCCCAGGTGATGCTTAGCTTAGTTTAGCAGGCAAGAGAGAAACTCCTGAAAGGGTTAGATCCGGCCAGGGAGACTGTGCCTAAGATAGTAGATGCTCAGCGAAGTTGAGTGTTGAGTGAATGACTGGTCAGAACCACCCTGTAGAAAATTACACAGAAGATAATAGGTGAGGTGTACCTAGAATCCTGAGATCCAACAGGGGTGAGCTCATGAAATTCTGCCAAAATCGAGTGCTCCAAAGCTTCCACTGTTTTCAAAGAAATAGCAGTAACTGGCTCTTGCTCTTGATTTCTGGACTCTCAGAATTCTGTGAAATCAGGAAAATCAGGAAATGTGAAATACGTTTGGTTCATATAAATGGCAACTCTTTTTTTTTTCTTCTAATAAACGTTTGTTGCTGGCAGAATCACACAGCTGTTTCCAAAATCAAAGATCAATTTGTTTTATTATTTTTACTAGTGGCTCAGGGGTAATTGCTTCTGGAAAACATCTGTTCTATAATTAGAAAACAAAGATTTCTTTGCCCCGACTGGGTATAATTACTTTTGGGAACCAGAGGGAAAGTTTTAGAATTGCCATGTCAATTCAAAGAGGATTGTTTGCAGTGAAATATGTCTTTTTAATTTTTCCAAAAGTAGCTTGGAGACTGGAAGAAAATTGTGTTTATTAGCATTGTAATAGAATAAAGCAAAACTACCAGATGTGTGTGGGCTTTTTAATACAAATAACTCCAGTGATTTCAACTCAGTCAATAACAAGGAATTCCATTTTGGAAAAGAAATGAATGGATATCAGAGTGTTAAGGGCTCTCCTGGCAAGTCCATAGATAGTTCTAATTCTAATTCTCTAATTAGAATTAGATCGATTGCCCCTTTGGCAAGCAAAGACTCATACTGATGCCAGGGACTTGCTCTGACTTGCTTTTCCTGGTGACATAGTGTGGATTTGAGCTCGTATGATTCCATGCACCCTAAGAGAGTGCTGCTCTGAGGCTTGATTTTCAGCCCTGTCTTTTGCTTACAAATGTGTCACTCCCACCCCATCCTTGCCACCCCTCACCACTGTACCCTGAACTCTCACTCATTTCTGCTGTTCTACCCATATAACACCCAGGCACTGATCCTACTCTGTTCACTGAGTCACTTGACCTTCCCAGTCTGAATTCTACCCCGATGTCACCAGTTTCCTGTTGATATATGTGACAGGACAAATGAATCTCAAAATAACTATGTTGCATGAAAGAAGCAAGGTGAAAAAGAGTACATGCTATTTTGTGGCATTTATACAAAACTCTAGAAAATATAAACACATCTATAGAGACAGAAAGATTTGTGCTTGCTTGTGGCTGGGACTAGAGAAGGCCAGGAAGGAGAAATTACAAAAGAAAACTTTTGAGGGGGATGGATGTGTTCGCCATCTTCATTGTGGTGATGGTTTCAGGAGCTGTATAAATGTAAAGTCTGTTTTGTCTGATGTTAGTATGCCATGCCAGGTGTCTTACGGTTGAAATTATATACTTTATATGTGTTTAATTGATTGTATGGTGATTATACCTTAATAAGGCTTTTTTTCTTTTCCTTTTAGAACAACCCACTGGAATTCTCTCACACCACAAGTGATAGAACTACACATCTGTGCCCAGGATGATCTGATTCTGAAGTCCATGCTCTTGACTACTCAGTAATTACTGCTTCCTCTGTAACGCAAATAGCTTGGTGTGATTGGTATGGCTGAACTTCTTTAATATTGCAAGGTTTGGGAACAGGAAATAAGGTTCTTTCATATACCTCTGATGGGAGGGAAGATTAGAGTTTCTGCAGGGTAATTTGCCCATGTCTTGAAAACTTTATGAATGCACATATGCTTTCATTTATCAATTCCATATCTAGGAATCCATCTTTAGGAAATAAAAATAGATTTCTACAAAGACTTATTTACAGGCACAATAAACACAATTTTTTCATAAAAATGAAAACTTGGAAAATTAATCTGTACCATGCAACCATTGACATTATTTTAATAGAAGAATATTTCCTGACATAGAAAAAGAGTATATTATTATGTGAATAGATCCATTTTGATAAAATATATAAGTTATCTGTGTGAAGAAAAAAACAGGAAGTAGGTTTTAAATGGTAATATGGTAGTTACTTCTGGTAGAGGAGTACAGATAATGGGTGATTTTAATTCTATTATTTGTGCTTTTAAAAATATTTTCCATTTTTCACAAATGTCTAAGCAGTGATTTTATTTATCAGATAAAACCATAAGTAGGTACCATTTAAAGAGAAGGTATACCCGTGTGTAAGTTTGCTTTCTCAGGTGCTCTAAAACTTCTGGATCTTTCCTTGGATGTAGTCATCCATTAGGATAGATGGGGGAACATCCCAGGTGTGGGTGCATATTTATAATGACACTGAGTATACAAGTGTAGTTTTTAGGATTAGAAAACCCAGTGGTTCAAAGAAGCAGTGTTCCCAGCTGGGTCAAGTAGGAACCAGGTAATTGGGCCAGCAAGCTAATTGTGGCAGAGAGTTCATGATTAGGAAAGAGACCACATCTTATCCTGATGGAGTTCTCAGACCCAGATCAAGGACAGGGCCTGTATAAATAAGACTTTGGGATGAACTGCTGTACCTGTAGACTGGACCACCATGGAGTGTGCAACCTCACATTGGCATGAAGTTGCTTTACCTCCCAGCTCTGTTTGAGACCTTGAGACAAGGTCATCACACCACACCTCACTTTACCATCAGCCTTGGTCTCTGCCATGTGGCTGCAGATGCTTTGGTCTACCTTCCTATGCATACTGTTCGGGGTTCCTCTCACGTGCCTCTTCTCTCTTTCTCTCTCACCCAGCCTTACCCTGTGTCCTCTGGAATCTCTGTGTATGACCTTCAAATTCTCCTACATCCTCAGTCTTTTTAAAGACTGCTTCTCTTTGGCTTTAAAATATATGTTTACCCAATAGTAATAAAATGTCTCCTTCTGCATATCCAGCTACCCACAGGACTCTTAACAATTTCCATAGTCCATAGAAAACACACTTAGTTCCTTCTTACAGCCTGAAAGGAACAGTGTGAGAGAATGAACGCATTCTTCAGCAGCTATCATTATCTACAAGCAGAACTTGTGAGTGGGGTGTAACCTTTAGACCAGTTCTCTATATATGTAAAAATAATAGACCACTTTATTCATCAAGTATGAATGAAACATATAAAACAGAACTCTTCATCTTTCCCCTTAAATATGTCTTTTTATTATATTACTTTTCTTTTTGAAATGTAAAGTATAATTTACATGCATACTTTTCATCCAGTTGGTTAATACTTTAACCTAACCAGTCCCCGTAACTAGCCATAGCATTGTAATATCAAGGATGCCATTTGAATAAGATTGAAAAAAAAAAAAAAAACGTGCAGAGGCTGGGCGCAATGGCTCACACCTGTAATCCCAGCACTTTGGGAGGCCGAGGTGGGGGGATCACAAGGTCAAGAGAGAGTCCATCCTGGCCAACATGGTGAAACCCCGTCTCTACTAAAAATACAAAAATTAGCTGAGTGTGGTAGTGCATGCCTGTAGTCCCAAGGTACTAGGGAGGCTGAGGCAGGAGAACGGCTTGAACCTGGGAGATGGAAGTTGCAGTGAGCTGAGATCACACCACTGCACTCCAGCCTGGTGACAGAGTGAGACTCCATCTCAAAAAAAAAAAAAAAAAAAAAGATGGTCGGAGCACAATACCAATGTTTCAATTTGACATCTTGTAACTAACTGCTTTTATATCCCTCCATATTTCCTTCCTCCTCAAATAATATGTTTGCATGAATTCATTGTGTATTTTCTACATCTGCACACACTTGAGGTAGGAAGCATCCAGCATTGCACATGAAATATGTAAGGCAGAATACTCAAGAAGTTAGGATTGACTTGATTTGGGTTGTGACTTACAAGCTGAGTCATAAGGAGTGGTTGCAATGTTCTCCTTTAAAGTATTTTAGCATAGACTATGCAAAATTGTTCATGGGCAGTCAGTTTAAGCTTTAACTTTATATTCAGCCAGTCACCCAAAGTGAGAATTCACACTGGAAAAGGTGGTAGACGGGGTGGGAGTGTGGATATCTAGTTAGCTACAGCAGAGGTACCCTACCCAATGCAGTTACTACCAGTGCTCTGTTCTCCAGATTTTAGTCAACATCTGAGGCTTTGCTAGATAACATACTGGTGATGCAGGATTTTTTTTTTTTCTCCTTAGCTCAGCTAGGTCTGGGTTCTTATCTCACAACCAGGAAAAATTAGGCATGCAAACACTTGAAGAGTGAGTGAAGTAGAATTTACTAAGCAAAAAGAAAGCTCTCAGCGAAGAGAGGGGTCCTGAAAGCAGGTTCCTCGTTGCCCCCTTCATAGTTGAATATAAGGGCTTTTACATACATGCTGATGAAGCTGGGTTCCCTATTTGTATAAGGTGTGAATTCCTTGTGACTCCACCCCACTGCCTCAGTGCACATGTGAGCCCTTAGTTCACCGCGGGCATGTTTAGGCAAGTCCCCTGTGCCAGTTCCCATATCTGTACAAAACACGGGTCGGAGGTGCTCCAGAGACCCTTCACTTACTGTCTGTCTAAAGCAAGCTGACCAATTCCTTTGAGTGATATCAGAAATGCTCTTATTGGTGAACATGATCACTTGTTAATTAGCATAATGATTATTAGAAATCCATTCTCATTGGAGAAATCAAAGTATTCAGGTTTTGTGTGTTGGCTAAAATATTTTAGAGACACACATTACCTTTCATGACCAGGGCATGATCATCTTACAAGATTGTTGTACGTACCCTTAGAGCAGGCATCTGAGGCTGGGTCACCACATGACCTTGGCTTCAGCCTCTGACTTGGGAGCATTTCTGGTCTTGCGAGGATAACTGAGAGAAACCAAATCCTGCTTCTGGTATATTGTTGTGCCCGTCTTGACGAAATTTATTCTGTAAATGTGATGTTCATAGGTCCCAAAAGAGAGCTGGGAGTTCGTTTGCGAAATCATTGCGTGAGATGTGTCCTGCCTGCTTGCCAATAATTATTTATTGAATAAATGTTCACGTGATAGGACAAACTTGGTTTGAGATTTGCCTTTTTTATAGCCTAGAAGGAACATGGTGAGAGAATGGGTACATTGTTCACCAGCTACCGTTATCTATAAACAGAACTTGTGAGTTGGGCATAAACTTTAGGCTAGTTCTTTGTACATGTAAAAATAATAGATTACTTTATTCATCAAAGTATGAATGAAAAGATCAGACTTCAAATGGGCAAGTACAAAGTCCTGTATCTGGACAATAGAGTTGTTGCTTTAAAGGAAAATTTCTTTGCAGCCTCAGGAGCTATCTAGGGAAGGGGGGAAGAAGAGGATTTCAAAGATTAGCTGATGGCCACATTAAAGGCCAGAGGGCAGGGACTGGAATGCCCTCTCTGGGGAGACAGCCTTGGTGGAGGATGTGGAGATGGAGTCCTTTCGAATCCAGTGGCAATGAAGAAAAGACTTTGGTTAGGAAAAACGAGCCCCATTGCAATTATCTTTGCCCATAAAGATTTGTGATGTATTTCCTTCCCTTAAATCAATACCAGACCAGACTCAAATGCCAGCAAGCACATATCAGCAGTGATCTCACAAGCAGTAGGACAGTTCGGTTAAGGACAGACGCATCTGGCCGAGGAAGCAGCAGTTAAGGTTCAAGTCCCTCTTATCATTGTTTTCCTGTTCCTCATTTCCTTTGGTTTGAGACTGGAGGGCAGGTTCTAGGGGACCAAGGCAAGTGACAAACGAGAAATTTTATTCCTGGGTGAACATCTCCTTGACTAACCAAATATTTAACTGTCTATTTTCATCTCTAAACAGGATAGTGGTAAGAATGGGAGGTGGTGAAATAAGGAAGGATCTGTCCTCTGCTCATTCTTCCCTGTTACCAGAATCATCTCACACTGACTTCCCTTCACTCCAAATTAGACTGCTTTATTTCTCATTCAGGCATCATAACTCATTGATTGTTTTAGCCTGCTCGGGGTACTGTAACAAAGTACCATAGACTGAGTGTCTTATAAACGACAGAAATTTGTTTCTCACAGTTCTGGAGGCTGGAAGTCTGAGATCAGCTGTGCCAGAGTGGTTGGGTTCTGGTAAGGGCTTCTCCAGGGTTACAGACGGTCAGCTTCTCATTGTATTTTCATGCGGCAGGAAGAGGCCAGGAGAGAGCTCTGGAGTCTCTTTTCATAAGGGCACTAATTCTGTTCATGAGTACTCCTTGTGACCTGATGGCCTCCCAAGGCTTCACTTCCAAATACCATCACACTGGGGATTAGGGTTTCAATATGTGAATTTGGGGAGGATACAAACACTTAGTTCATTGCACTAACCTGTCCCTTCGCTTCTGAATATATGTTGTTTGCAGTTTCAGGAGGGAAGGTAAGAAAGACTGGCCAGCCCCAAAGGGAGGGCGATAGGGGTGGTATGATTTCAACAAACTGAAAAGAAAAGCGGGCTTCCCTGTAGGCTCTGGCTGTTCACTTTCCAGATGAGAAACTCTCCACCTTAAAGTGGAGCCCAGAGCAGTAAGGCAGGAGATTAGATCCAGATTGGAGGCACATCAGCTGGGTGACGTGGGAAGACACGTCGATGCATGTTTGACACTTTCTATTTTGATTTCTGTGGCAGGTGAGCCTGCATGCGCAGCATAGTGAGCCTGCAGTGGTGAACCGGGGAGATCCTGTGCCTTCTGTGCGGTTCCTCCCCAGCCACGCAGGTATTTCCAGAGTCTGGAGAACACACTACCTTTAGAAAGAATGAATTCCAGACCCAGAGAAGCCCCTAAAGGAGACTCATTGCAAGCAACCCTCCCGTTTTGTGCAAGAAATAACAGAGGCCCCAGAGAGGGGAAGCGATTTGCTGCCGAAGTCATCCCATCTGTCAGCGGCAAAGCTAGGGCTGGAACTCAGGATTCTCTATCCCTCTTCCCAAACCTGGCACCATTTTCCTGGCTTTCTGGGTCTGAAGTCCCATGCCAGAGGCCCTCTGTTTTCAGAGCGGAGCTCATTCAATATGTGTGCTCTTCCTACTCAAGTGCTTCGAGGCTCCTTCCTGGAAAGATAAGAAGGGGTGGTGGATCCTCCATAGATATGGATTGTCGATTATTCTCTGAAGACTAGATAAGGAATGGGGGAGGGGAGATGTTATAAAAGAAATGGGGTCTGGATTGAGAGAGTCAAAGCACATACGTTGGCACTGCCAATTTGCTGGTACCTCTGAGGCACAAAGTTGCTCATGTTTTCCTTTCTTCTTTCCTTCCTTCCCTCCCTCCCTCCCTCCCTCCCTCCCTCCCTCCCTTCCCTCCCTCCCTCCCTCCCTCCTTCCCTCCTTCCCTCCTTCCCTCCTTCCCTCCTTCCCTCCTTCCCTCCTTCCCTCCTTCCCTCCTTCCTCCTTCCTTCCTTCCTTCCTTCCTTCCTTCCTTCCTTCCTTCCTTCCTTCCCTCTCTTTCTTTTTCTGAGATGGAGTTTTGCTCTTGTTGCCCAGGCTGGAGTGCAATGGTGCGATATCAGCTCATGGCAACCTCTACTTCCCAGGCTCAAGTGATTCTCCTGCCTCAGCCTCCCAAGTAGCTGGGATTACAAGCATGCACCACCATGCCCAGCTAATTTTTGCATCTTTAGTAGAGATGGGATTTTACCATGTTGATCAGGCTGGTTTCTAACTCCTGACCTCAAGTGATCTGCCCACCTCGGCCTCCCAAAGTGCTGGGATTACAGGCATGAGCTACCACACCCAGCCTCATGTTTTCTACCTAACAGGATCCCTGCCCCTTCCCATTTTGTGTCACCAGGCTTCGATTCCAGACCAATGCTGTCATGGCTTCACCATATCATGGCACCCTCATCATTTCACTTGTGACTCCCTTCTTCCTAGGACCCAGGCATAAATTCCTGAAGAGTTGGTCTGAGCAACAGATTCCTGTGCTTTGCCTAAAATGGCCTCTTATTTCCCAATATTTGAGACCTTTTATTTGCTCAATCTCATGTGCCCACTGGACCCCAGTGATAGCTTCACATACCTGACTCCTCAGGGAAACACAGCTTCCGTTCAAGTCAAGATTCTTGCTATACCATGAACTCTTCTGAAACTTCTGGGATAATTTTCTGACTTCTTTGTATGTAGGAAAAGGTCAGAATGAAGCTCCGAATTCTTCAGCATGTGTAAAAACTTAAGACAACTACATCTTATTTTTATTTGTTATTGTTATTACTTTTTGAGACAGTCTTGCTGTGTTGCCCAGGCTGGAGTGCAGTGTCATGATTTTGGCTCACTGCTACTTCTACCTCCCGGGTTTGAGTGATTCTTGTGCCTCAGCCTCCCAAGTAGCTAGGATCACAGGCATGCAACACCACTTCCAGCTAATTTTCATATTTTTAGTAGAGACAGGATTTCACCATGTTGACAAGGCTGGTCTCGAACTCCTGACCTCAGGAGATCCACTCATCTTGGCCTCCCAAAGTGCTGTGATTACAGGTGTGAGCCACTTCACCTGGCTGACAACTACATTTTAAAGCAACTTTATTCTCAACGAAATGACCTTTTAATAACTTTCTTGCCCATGTGGATATGGGTAAGGATATCTTGCCAATATTCCTGTTAGTGTTTGACTGTGATGCTATTGTTATACAAAGAATGGGCAGGTGGAGCTAAGCAGAAGGAGAGTCAGATACCTGTGCCATGAAGAACAGAAGAGAACCAAACAGAGTGTATCCTTAAGGGGCAGGGGAGGTCAGCGCAAGTGGGGACAAAGCCCAGCTTAGTCAGTGAGCACTTCATGGCAGACTGGTCAAATTATATCTCTTGGACTAAGATCTTCATTAAAGGCCTGCACCTCAGAGACATTTCGGCCTACCAAGGTGCATCATTATGGAAGACTGGGCATGATAATAGTAATTTAAATGAAGTAAAAGAGCAGCCTAAATTAGAACAGCTATTCACATTCCAACTTCTCTTGAGAAGAGCCCCTGTTGGATAAAGAAAACTCGCTGAGCAAAGTAGATCAATAGAAGGTCAACTTTCCAGCCCTGGAGTGCAAGGTTTAGAAACGTGCACATTCCACGGCTTTAGGGGTCCTGTTGTTTTCCTTCACATCATTTCATTACAGAACAATTTTCTACAGCAACCTGATCTACCTTGTGACCCAGTAAGGCATGCTAGGGTTTTAAATCAAATGTTACCTTGTCCCTATTCGCCTTATCACTGCAAAATATCTACATGGTTCCCTGTTAAGGAGAGTTTCAAAATGACTCTCTTGAGAAAGTCTGGATAAATTGAGGATGGAGGATTTTTCCTGCCTCTAAGCTGTGCTCCACTCCAATCTTTCACATGCTCTGTACCCAGAGGGTGACTACAAGCTTAATGGAGAAAGGGAGGAGGAACGGGTCATTTTCTTGCTGCACTTTATAACACCCAACAGAGGAAATGCACAGCATAGGTGTGTGGGAGTTTGGCTGACTTCTGGTAAAAAATAAACACGGTTTCCTGTTTGTCTCTTATTTCTATTCCTTCCTTCCTTCATTTCATTCTTATTTTCATTCAAGTGGTAAGGAGTGACCAGTACTTCCTGCCAGGAAATCATTTTATGCAGGCAAAGAAGGTGTCATTTGGGGACTAAAAAATACCAGTTCTTCTTGCAGACTTCCAAACATTTTCACCTTTCACTCATCTATCAGTATCATTCCTTAAACTAATGTTGAGTGTTTTAACTTGGGCTAAATCATCATGTTATTTGGAAGGCTGAAAGATTGGCATCTTGATGCATTATGATTTTCTCATATACTTGATTAGCTTGGAGCAATTCCAAATGGAGAGAGCATTCCATTACCCATTCATCCATCCACCTACCCACGCACCCACCCATCTTTCTATCCATTCATCCATCCATACATTTGTCCACCATATGTCCACCCATCCATCAAAGGAGAAAATGAGTTAAGTGTTGTGTGTTGAAGAGAGAGAAGGTGCAAAGGCAGTCAAGAATAACAAGCTTGGTGTGTGTTTGTTTCTTTTAGAGACAGATTCT